GTCGCCGCCGCCGGCGCCAGGACCGCGCCGGCCCGGCCGAGGCCGGGGCCCCCAGCAGGGGTCGTGCAGCGTGCGCCCGTGCTGGACGTGCTGGACCCGGTGCTCCAGGCCCTGCCCTGGGAGAGCGTGCCCGGGCTGGAGCAGCAGAGGGCCGGCGCCAGGACCGCGCCGGCCCGGCCGAGGCCGGGGCCCCCAGCAGGGGTCGTGCAGCGTGCGCCCGTGGTCCTCGTGCTGGACCCGGTGCTCCAGGCCCTGCCCTGGGAGAGCGTGCCCGGGCTGGAGCAGCAGAGGTGTGGGTCGGGTTCGGACCGGGAGGATCGGGCCGCATGGGCAGCGAGGGGGCCAGCATCGATTGGGGACTCTGCTGTCACACCGCAGGTGTTACTCGTGTACCCCCTCACGCACGCACGCACACACACACCGCCTTGCTCACAGCATGTACCGCATGCCGTCCCTGGCCGTGGCGCTGGCCAGCTGTCGGGCAGCTTCGGAACCGCGGCGGCTGGACCCGCGCGACGCCTTCTTCAGCCTCAATCCCTCGGGCGACCTGGGGGACACCCAGCAGGCCCTGGAGCCCCTCTTCCTGCGCCAACCCACCTGGAAGGCAAGCGAGGGGGGTGACAGTGACCGGTGTGGTTGTCGGGGGGGATGACTCCGAGGCCAGGGGTGGGGACATGCATGGGCATGCACGACATGCACGCTTGACGGCGCCCCCCTCCCTCATCCGACCCGGGCAGGGTACATCAGGCAGGCCGCCGGCCGCTGCCGAGCTGGCCGAGGCGCTCCAGACGCGCCAGCTCTTCGTCTACTGCGGCCACGGCAGCGGCGAGCAGTACCTGCCAGCCGCGCGCCTGCGCACGCTGCGCTGTTCCGCGGCAGGCCTCATTATGGGCTGCTCCAGCGGGCGCCTTCGCCCCCCCGCAGCCGCCGGGGACGAAGCCCAGGGCGCCGTCCTGGCGTACCTCCTTGCAGGTCGGGGATGGGGAGGGGGGGGAGGCAGGTGTTTTGGGGGAGCTCGGACAAGAGGGGAGAGCAAATCTGCGGTGCGTCGCGGCGGCGGCTGGCGCCCCATGTGGTTGTTCGACGCCGAGGCATTGCTGGCTGCGCCATGGGCGCATGAAGCATGCATTGCTCGGCCCTTCTGATGCCCTTGGACTGCCCACGCCATCACGTCACACGCAGGGTGCCCCGCCGCCACTGCCAACTTGTGGGACGTGACCGACAAGGACATTGATCGGTTCACCGCCGCGGTACTGGAGGACTGGCTGGAGGCTCCAGGGCGCGAGCCTGGGGCCGCGGTGGACGTCGCCGCCAGCGTGAACGCCGCGCGCGGGCGGTGCCGCCTGCGTTACCTCAACGGCGGCGCGGCCGTCACCTACGGCCTGCCCACCCTGGTCGGGTGACCAGTCGTGATGACATGCTGGCGGCAGTTGAGGGGCCTGGATGTAATTGTGCATCAACCTAAGAAAACCTCTGCTCTCTTCTACCATGCTTCGATTCTACAATGCTGTCAAGCTTCACGCCGGGCCAGGAGCTCTTGGAAATCGAGGCTACCGAGCGATGCACTCGCCAAAAGGGAAAAGGACGAACATCCTTGTCATCTTGAGTGCCCGCAATAGGGCGTAAGGACCTCTCATCCTGCGAGACAGTCTCTATCATGCACCATCGCATCTCAACATGTCTCACCTTTCCCTCCGCGCCCAGCACACAAGACACGCCTCGCGCCATCACCAGCCCTACTGTGCCTCCTCCGCCACGATGCGGATGCGGGGCCAGGAGTTGCAATTAACGCCGCGCAGATTCCAGATGGGCCCCGGCGCCTCTGGCTGCGTGTTGTAGGATGCGTCGGTGGCTTTCGCCGCGATCTCCACCTCGCCCGGCGTCCCCGGCACCTCCACCTCCGCGCTCCACAGCACCCAGGCCCAGTTGCGCCCCTCCTCCTGCTCCACCCCCTCCAGCTCGGCGGTGTGCCAGGTGGCGCCGCCGTCGGCGGTGACGTCGACGCGGATGACGCGGTTCCCGCCCCCGCTCCAGGCGTAGCCCTTGACCGTCACTAGGTCCTCCGGCTCCACGCGCGCGCCCGGGGCGGGCTCGCAGATGAGCGAGGTCACGGGCATGGCCTGGATGGCCGGGGCGGAGTCCCAGTCCACCTCGTCCCAGCCCACGCTGGGGGAGAAGGCCTTGTAGTCGCGGCGCTGCCACAGCGAGTCCGCCTCCTCCCCGCTGGGCACGACTTTAGTCACCCACTTGACCGAACGGCACCCCGCGGTGCCGGGGACGATTACGCGGAGGGGGGCGCCGTGGTCGCGCGTCAGCGGCGCGCCGTTCATCTCGTAGGCCAGCAGCACGTCGGCGCGCGGGTCCAGCGCGCGGTGCACGGGGATGGAGGCCGCGTAGGCCTGCCCCGCGCCATCGGCGTCGGCGCCGAAGAACTGCACGTGCCGCACGCCCTCCGCGCCGGGGTCCAGACCCGCGGCCTGCAGGACCTCGCCCAGGCGCACGCCGCCCCAGACCGCGGTGCCGATGGCCGCGCCGCCCCACTCCAGGCCCTTGACGTCCTTGACTGCGTAAAAGTCGTTGCGGCGGTTGCCGGAGCACTGCACCGTGGCGGTGACCGTGTGCTTCCGGAACTCGGCCTTCAGCCGGTCCAGGGACAGGTCCAGCTGCAGGGGTTGCGTGTTTGACTTTATTCTTGGGGCAGTGAGTGTGTGTATACGAGGACGAGGAGGCAAAGGGGGCATGGTGCTGGTGGCGAGGACCAGGAGCAGGGAGAAGTGTGGGAGGGGATGAAGGCATGGGTTGGAGGCAGCGCATGATGACAGAAATGGTATGTCCAATGAATTCGTCGTAGTGGCCTCCAGGACAGGCTCAGGGGCACCCGCCTCAACACTTCCGAGTCCGCATGCCGCGTTTTCCAATTATTGCCCCTCCTGACTGGCCATGCTCAATACTGCCCCTCTCTCCCTCCCAATGATACAACCGGCCACTATTCCTCACCGTCTTGATGCCCTGCCCCTCGATGCGCAGGCTGTACTGGGCCTCATCGATCCTGGGGACGGGGAGGTGGTTCCTGATGTAAAACACCTCGGTGGGTGTGATGACGGAGCCGGTGAGGAGCTCGCGCGGCGGCTCTGCATTCATGGGACGCGCGCTGCGCACGATGAGCGCCGGGAGCCTGCAGAGGGAGGGAGAGGGGGTGAATGGGGTAGCGGGGGGCGGGAGTGCTGGGGTCAGTGGGCATCCTCCAACGTCCTCCCTCCCGTTGCCGGTTCCATGGCGGCATGGCCGGGCTTGAGGAATGGGGATACACAGGCCTGCCAACAGGCATGCCGGATGCAAGCCAGTTCCAGAGCTACCCCATCCCCTGGATATATGGCCTGCATTACGGGTCCTCCTCCCCCTCCAGCACACCTGTCCTTGGGGTCGTCCGCGTAGGGGTCCTCCGGCGGAGGTGGCGCGCCCCCCTCCAGACTGCCTATCCGGTACCCCTCCAGGATGTCCCGCACTTGCTGCGTGTTGTGCTGCTGGTACATGGACCAGAAGGGGTCGATGGCGGACCCGGCGGCCATCATGAGCCGGGCCTTGCCCCCAGGGTGGATGTCTACCCAGTCGGTTATGTCGTACACCCCCTCCTTGTAAGTCACCCAGACCCGGTCCTCGGGGGTGCGGTGCTTGGCGACTTCCTCCTTGCTGTACTCCGGGAGGCTGGAGACGTCCTTGGCGAGGGCAGGCCCAGGGTGGGTGGCCAGGTACCACGCCCCGAGGCCGAAAGATGCCCCCACCGCGAGGGAGCCCGCCCACCACGCGCGAGCCGTGGCGCCCTGCTCGCGAGCTGCATCAGTGGTGAGTGCCCTCGCGCATGCTCCGACACGCCAGGCTCGGTCTCGGCGACACGACTCTGCCCAGACCCGCCTGTTGAGTGAGGCGACACACCTCCTCATCCCCGCCGATGGAGCTCCAGTGCAGGTACAGTCTCGAAAACGATGACAATAGATTCAGCAACAGGCCATGCTAGTAGACCTGGGAGATCCAGCACTGTGTGGATTCGTGCCCGGGTTCAATGTTGTGGGGAAGAAAATGCTGGCAGAATCTGACTCGGCGCCCGCACACAGCGCGGATCGCCCGGCTGAAATTCCCGCATAGTGAGCCCCATTGTTGCGGCATATAGCGTCCACGGTGTCCCACTGTCTGATGCAGCATCATGCATAAGCCACAACATCATTTTGGAGGAAAGTTTTGTGGGTAAGTCCGGCGGATGCAGGGCGAAGTGGCTCAACGTGACTCTTGAAGTGCCACGATCTGGGGCCCCTTCATTGGGAAAAGTCCAGTTTTTTTCTTAGGGTACAAAAATGAAGAATATTGCCAATTGGAACTCATGCTGTGATCCACGGACTGCCCGTGGCACCCAGACATGCTTTTGAAAACATATTGAAAACGTGCTCAGGGGGCAAGCCCGACACTGCGACGAGGATCGCGCCGCTACTCCAAGATTCCAGGATTTGGGTGGCTATAAAGCATGATGGTGGTTTAAAGTAGGAGATGGGTTGCCACATTGATCACTCTCCCCATACAGAGACGATCGTTGGCCGGGCCTCCCCGATAAGTCGCGATCTCAGGATGGCCCTTGGAAACTGCGACGGACCACTTGTCGAAATCTTGGGGGGTCTCATCGTGTACGGCTCCAGGGGCCATCTGGACCCTGGACATAGGTATCCAGGGCGGCCGTTACTTCATCATAGTGCCATTACCGAGCCATCTTGTGGAGTAGGTAGGGCCCGCAGGCTCGCACACCCTTTCAGCCACTACCAGGCTTGAAAGCCGCAAACCAGGGCTGCAGGTGCGACACGCCACTTCGCGGGATCGGGGGCCGTTTCCTTGGAGGATCAAGCCCTGCAATGCATCAGGGCCTGGCGGATTTACCCTGATACGGCCGTGATGGCCTCCTAGGTTCCGGGGCTCCGCCTTGTGCGCCACTCGGTGCCGGGGCCTCGCGTACTGCCGTGTGCATGGCTGCCCCCGGCCGGGCACCCCTCCTGCTCAGCGACCCACTGCCGGGTGTATGCACATCTGCCTGGTGATGTGCGGTGTGCCCGATGCCCGACCCCATGCCTCCCCGTTGTAGCCCGGCACCCTCCCGCGATGGGCCTCAGCCAGCATGGCTTCCTCATCGTGTGCTACACCCTGTCGGTCTTCGTGCTCACCGCCTTCTTCGTCTACGCCCTGGTGTACTCGTACATCGTCAGACGCAAGAATGTGTCCGTGGAGAACTTCATCACAGCCCGCGGACAGGTGCTTTCCTGGTGGGGGGAGGGGGGGGGCGGCCGGGCCCCTGCAGTGCCCCGACTGGCCTCGCCCCCAGAGTGCCTCCAGCCCCGTCGGCCTGCCTCCAGCCCCCAGCAGCATGCATGCCCTTGCATGCATGCAGCATTCCCCATGTTATCTGGGGATGCCCCCTTCAGAACCTTCAATAACCCCCTCCTTCATCCCCCCCCCCCTTCCTCTTTTCCAGCTGTCCACGGCGCGCATCGCCTTTGGCTTCTACGCCGCCGCGGTGGGGGCCTGGGTGGTGGTGGGCCCGCCCTCCTACTCCCCCTATGCCGGCGTGATTGGCTGCGTGATGTACGCCGTCGCCACCGGCCTGCCCATCATCGTCATCGCCTTTGCGGGCAGCTTGATCCAGAACAAGGTGCCCCACGTCCTCTCCCTCACCGACTACGTGGGCTGGCGCTTTGGCTACATCGCCCAGAGCTACATTGTCTGCTTCGTCTGCTTCAACATGTCCATCTCCATGCTGGCCGAGTACACCACCATCGGCTCCCTGTTTGGCAGCTACGTGGGGTCGGAGACCTACCCCATCATCATCGTGGTGGGGGTGCTGACCATGATCTACACCGACTACGGCGGCCTCCTGGTCTCCCTCATCACCGATCAGGTCCAGGGCGGGCTGAGCATCATCCTGGTCCTCGTCGTCGCCATCTACGTGGCGGTGACCTTCCGCTACCCGCTGCCCACCCCCATGCCCTGCGACCCCGACGACGCCATGGGCTTCTGCATCTCCGGCACCAACGCTACGGGCTGGGGCTCCATCTTCTCCATGCCCGCCTCCCTCATGGTCTCCACCGTCTTCTCCGAGGCCATGTGGCAGCGTGTCTGGGCCTCACACTCCAAGAGGTGCGCACGGGTCTGTGTGTGTTGTGTGTGGGGGGGGATTAATATTGCTATCCTTGCTTGTCAGGGCGGGAGAGGAAGGGCGGGGAAATCCTACTGGTTGGTGTGTGACACAAGCACAGATTGCCCCTCAGCCATTCATGTATGAGTGGTCGGTTCATCGCATTTTTGTGAACCCCCCCCCCAAAAAAAAGAAACTTCCAATACCCCTCATCAAAAGGTCGCTTCGCAAGGCCGCCTTCATCGCCTGCGCGGGCGTCATCCTGGTCGTCTTCTTCACCGGCTTCCTTGGTCTGCTGGCGGCGTGGTCGGGGCGCATCACGGCCGACACCAACCCCAACCTGTACCTGTTCGAGGCGCTGCGCGGGGCCATGAACGAAGCCGGGCTGGTGTCCAACGCCATGGGCGTGGTGGTGCTCCTGCTCACCATCACCATGAACGAGTCGGCGGTGGACTCCATGCAGAACGGGCTGACGGCGGCCATCTCCTCCCACTTCCTGCGCGGCCTGCCCCTGTACTGGACGCGCCTGGCCGTGCTCGTCATCAACATCCCCATCATGGTGGTGGCCACCAAGGGCTACACCGTGCTCCAGCTCTTCCTGCTCACCAACATGCTCTGCGCCACCACCGCGGGGCCCGTGCTGCTCGGCCTGGTGGAGCGCCTGCACCCCGTGTATGGCGGCGCCTCCCTCCTCTTCACCTCAATCTTCACCATCTTCCTCACCTCCGTCTACGGCATCAACTTTGCGTGGGTGGACGGTGCGTCGCGCTCCCACAACATCGCCGAGGGCATGCACTACACCTGGATCGGGAACAACTACGACTACCGCTTCTTCCTGGTCGCCATCGGCGTGTCCATCGGCATGGTGGGCGTCACATCCGCCTTCAACTACCTCTCCCAGACCTACCTGATCAAGAAGAAGCCGGAGGTGCTGGGCTTCACCGCGCCGGCCACCCACCCCCACATCCCGCGCTACCATGATCGCCTCATGCATGCGCCGGTGCAGGCCTCCAGCGGCAGCGAAGGCGGCGTCGACGACAAGATCGTGGCGGGCGATGGGCTCAAGGGCGGCACGCCGCACGACGCGCTCACCCGCCTGTCCGCGCAGCTGCCGGAGGCGCTGCTGCACACCGCCGACGAGACCCCAGGCCACCGCCCCGCCTGAGCGCGGTGAAAGGAGGGTTTCTGACCCCAGGACTGACCCCAGGGCGCTTGCATGGCCCTTGCAAAACCCACCCCAACACCTCTTGTTTGCCCCCTGTCCACACCATTAATTCCTTGCGCCTCGACATGGCGCTGCCGCGCCCCGCCCCAGTCACGACCTTTGAGATCCGATGGGCGGGAGCGGCGGCGCCACAATCATTGCTCTCTTGATCCCGGGGCGCCGCCCGCGTCGGCTGCAAGGCCGCGCCCTGCGCTTCCACGTGTGCATGTGGCGTGGCCCTGCCTACCGGACCCCGGCGCGGGCGGGCGCCTCCCTTCACCTATTATCGAGCCCACCCACGCTGTGCCACATTGCCGTACTGTCTGGGCTGTTCCTGTTGTCAAGTCTGATGAGAAAGCAGAAGCGACAGGGTGGTGAGGCTGGAGGGGGGATAGGTAGGCCAGCCTGCGCCCAAGAGGGAAGTCAGGGCGAGAGCCTCTGCATGGCTATCCCCCTGTTCCGCCGGCAGCTTCTGTGGGTGCCTAGCGCCACTGGACGGCCGGGAATGCAGGGGGGTACTGAATTAAGGGGAAACATGTCGTGCTTCCCTGATTCCATTCGCCGTGAGGGACTGAGGCACGGGCGCACGCACTCAATGGAATGGGAGCCCCTTGAACCCAGTTCTGTCTGAAGGGATAGGTCCTCACGAAAAGAATTCCGTGGCAACGGGTTCCCTCTGGCCCCTTTTCACCTGGCTGAACCCAATTTGTTTTGAACACGTTGGTGTGCTTGTGGATGCGAGCAGGTATGGTGATGGGAAGAAGAATATCTCGACATGCAGTGATGAGTGAAAACTGGGCCTACTTGCATCAGATGCCGGGGGTGCACGGCGTATGGCCGCATGCAGGCGGGGGAGGGAAAAAGGTCAGGCACCCCCAGGGCTCACCATGCCCTGATCAGCGCCCTCACCCTCGCAGAAGCTCCGACTCCTCCCTGTGCAGGAAGACCTTGAGCAGCTCGCGCACCGTGTCCCAGTGCTGCATGAAGGCACCATGGGCGCCGTCCTCGAAGATGGCCATCCAGGCTGAGGGCAGGACCTGCCCCACCAGCTTCTGGTTGATGGCAGGGACCACAGGGTCCCACAAGCCGCCCACCACCAGGATGTGCTGCTGGGTGCTGGCCAGCGCGTCGAGGGTGGTGTCGGAGAAATACTGCATGGCGACGGGTGGGGGCCGGGGGAGGGATGGGGCCAATGCAGGTCTGTCTCAGGACCACTCCGGGAGCGGGGAGCGTGCAAGATACCCTGGATTGCAGGCAGACAGCCACGAGGTCAGGAGCCCCAGGCGACCCGGCCTGTCTCCGCCCCGAGGTCTGCACTCACGTATTCAATCAAGGCTTCCAGCTGCCGCCGGGTGGCGAGCTTCCTTATGGTATCCGCAGGGGTGTACTGCATCTCCTCGGCATACTTACAGGCCGCCTCCACGCCTGTGAGAAGGGGGGGGCGGTCAAATGGGTGCTGTGAGCGGCCAGTGACCTGCAGTTTGGCCCGGAGTGTCGCCGCCCGCCCGCCCGCCCCCTTCCCCCTCCCCCCTCCTGCTGCCACTCACCGGATGTCGTATTCAGGGGAAACAGCGTGCCGAGCCTGTACACCTCAGTCATGGTGTCGTCGAGGAGGAACTTCTCCAGGATCTCAAGGGAGGGCAGCTGGGAGCGGAGGGACCCAGGACCACCAGAGAAGACGGCAAAGCGGTCAAAGGAGTCGGCAAACATCGCGGCGGCCTGCAGGGTGATCATGCCCCCCATGGACCAGCCGAAGAGGTGGGGCGGCCTGGCCAGGTCCAGGGCCTGGGGTCCGGCAGTGGCGAAGGTGGACAGGGAGGTGGCGAGGCGTGCAGGATGAGGGGTGGGGCGCCCCAGGCAACTCAATGCACCCGTGGAGGTTGTGGGCAATCGAGGTGGTGGTGTTGGTGCAGGGGCATGAGACCCCCCATCCCCGTTCCCAAGCGCTCCATCAGGCGGCCACGCTCCGCGCAACACTGACACTCACAGCATCCGTCGCTGTCCCTTGCGCAAACCCTGACGAACTCTCAAGCCACACGCACCTCCCACCTGCCCCACCCTGTCCCTCCCCGAAGCTCACCTCAACAAAATTCTTGGTGTCGTTGGCCATCGAGAGGATGCTCAGTGGCATATCGGGGCTGGTGTCCTACATTAGAACATGGGAGGGCCAGGATCTGGACAGGCTTGCCGAACCACTATGGGTCCTGGCCCCAGCTCGGCACTTTATCAGGACCAGGAACGGATTGGACGAGTGGTGTGCACCCACACAACCTTCATACCCTGGAGGAGCCCTGCCCACGGTTGTCGAAGATGATGACCTCCCTGTCCTCTGCCAGATCAGATAGGATGGTGATGGGCCAGTCCTTCATTGTGCCGGAGAAACCCACGACAAGGACAATAGGGGGGAGCTCGGTTGATGCATTTCCGAAACGGTAATAGGCTATCACCACATCCGGGATCTCCAAGAATTGCATGGGGCCATAGAATTCCAAGGCTGGCTCGTAACTCGAGTAGTTTGTGCCGCACAGCTCCTCCAGGGTCTCCCACGACAACGCGTCTATGGAAAGGGGTATGTCGACGGAAATAGCGTTGTGCGGCGTACGCCTGCAGCATGCATCCCGAAACAGTATACAGCAACAACTTGGCCATTGCAATTGGTACGTTGTAAATCCATAGAAAAATCTGAGGCATAGTACCCTGGAGAGCGTCCTCACCTTGTGCGCTGGTGACTTGAGTTGGTATCAGCAGGATGAGCGCCAGTGCGGCTCCGAAGAGCAAGGCCGACCTCATCGCGGATCCTATACACCTCCTGTCTGAATATTGTTGTGGTAAATTGATTGTGGAAGATCTTTTGAGTGTACTCTACTTTTTATAGAGGCCATGGCGCGTGAAACATCCCCCCCGGTAATCCTGCGGTCGGAAGCCGACGACGCAAATCCGGTCATGCCCCGGTGCACCAGAAGGTGATGGAAGCGCGGCCTGGTATAGGCAGCGTGCGGAGATACTCCGCCCGGGGTGCCCTCCCACACCGGCGCATGCTCTTCCACGGATCACTCAAGGACCAGGCTGCTGAAATACGAGGGTGAGGTGTTACGATAGACTACAGAGATGCAGGCAACCACTCCTGGCCAGGGGCAGAGGACCCTGAGGTCCAAAGGAGAGTGTAAAATGAGGCCGAGGTGGCCACGATGGACATGTGGAATTGCTAAAATTTGCGGTAAAATGTGGGAAGAGAGCCTGAATGAGGCTTCGTTGGGAGTGGAGCACTGTGCATGACGTGCAGCGCCCTTTCGCAGGGTTTGCACATGTATCGTGGCCAGCTGGGAGGGGATTCTGTCACGAGGGCGTACCCTGCCCCGTGTAGGGCCCCCGCTTTCCATCCTCGTACTCCTCCCTGTGCAGGAAGACCTTGAGCAGCTCGCGGACCGTGTCCCAGTGCTGGATGAAGGTGGCGTGGGCGCCGTCCTCGAAGATGGCCATCCATGCGGAGGGCAGCACCTGCCCCACCAGCTTTTGGTTCTGGGCGGGGACCACCGCATCCCAGAGCCCGCCCACCACCAGGATGTGCCGGTCGGTGTCGGCCAGCATGTCGATGGTGGTGTCCTCAAAGTACTACAAGATAGGGGTGGGGCGCGGGGGTTGAGTTTCAGAGGGATGGGTAGAGGGTCCTCAGGCATGCAGCGCTGCGTTAAAATCCTCAGGGAGGGGGTGGGTGGGGTGGGTGGGCGCAGCGCGGGCTTGGAAGCGGAACATATATCGCCCAGAGCCCAAGACCAGGAGGCAGCTGGAGTTGACACTCCCACGGGCCCGCACTCACGTAGTCGGTCAGGGCTGCCAGCTGCTTCTTGCTGGCCAGCTTGTTCTCGGGGTCGTCAGGGGAGAACTGCATCTCCTTGGCGTACTTGCAGGCCGCCTCCACGCCTGTGGGGAGGTCACAGGGTGGTGGCTGGGTCCCGCCAGCTGCCTACCACCTACTGCACAGCCTATGCCCTTCCCACCCTGGGGCCTGCCACTCACCGGCTGTGGTGTTCAGGGGGAAGAAGGTGCCAAGCCTCTCCACCTGACTCACAGGGGTGTCGGCAAGGAACTCCGCCAGGATTGTGGTGGAGGGCAGCTGGGAGCGGAGGGATCCCGCGCTGCCAGAGAAGACGGCGAAGCGGTCGAAGGAATCACCGTACACTGCGGCGGCCTCCAGGGTGATCATGCCCCCCATGGACCAGCCGAAGAGGTGGGGCGGCCTGGCCAGGTCCAGGGCCTGGGGAGCGGTGGGGGCAGGGTTGGGAGGGGGGAGGTTGCAATGCGCGCGGGTCGACACCGGGGGTGCATTAGTGGACCGGGGTTTCCGGTGACAGAGGCTGATCGAGGTGGTGGTCTAGGTGCAGGGGAGGTCAGGGCCTTGATCCTGCCTTCCAGTGTTTGCACCAGGGGCAGGTGTAATTTGCCGTGTTGACGCCCATGGTTCATCAGGGCGCCCCCCCTGCAATCCCTAGTCACATGCACCTTGATGTCCACCCAGCCCGCCTCCCCTGCCACACCTCAACAAAGTTCTTGGTGTCGTTGGCCATTGAGAGGATGCTCAGGGGCACGTCGGGGCTGGTGTCCTGCGTCATAGTTGGGGATGGTCCAGGATTGAGCAGGCCTGAAGTACAACCAATCGGCCTCAGACACATCATGTCGCCCCTGGGGCAAGGAAGACACCGGAACAGAGCACAGACCCCCCACGCCACCCAGCCTTCTCACCGTGGAGAAGCCCTGCCCGCGGTTGTCGAAGATGATAACTTCCCTGTCCTCTGCCAGGTCAGCAAGGACGCTGATGGGCCAGCCCTTCATGGTCCCGGAGAACCCCATGACCATGACCACAGGGACCAGCTCTGAGGAGGCATTGCCGAAGCGGTAGTACGCCACGATCACATCAGGGATCTCCAGGTACTGCAGGGGGCCGTAGAACTCGGTGGCAGTGTCGTAGTCCGTGTAGTTGGAGCCGCACAGCTCCTCCAGGGTCTCCCCCGGCCACACCTCTGCGGGGAGGGGTGCGTCGGCGGACGTTGAGGTGTGGCGCTGCCGGCAATCAGCGACAAACGCCCACAACATACGCCCAGTCCACAAGCCATCATTTTCACACGTGGAATATCCATGCAAACCATCTGGCATGGCAGCCATGGTTTTGTCCTCACCTGGGGCGCTGGTGGCTTGAGACGGGCAAAGCATGGCCAGCGCCAGTGCCGCACAAAAGAACACCGCCGACCGCATGATGGGTCCTTCGTACCAGCTCCTAGGCTCTTGCCGTGACTAGTTTATGGTATAGATGTCAAACCGGGTACGACACTTTACATCAAGTCTGGGGCGCGTAGAGCATCCTCGCCGGTGGCCCTCCGGACGGAAGCTGGGGAAGTGTACAGTCCGCCGGGTCTCGGCGGACTGGATCATGACGGGGATGATCCAGGTACATCCTCCTATTTACTCTGCCCTGTCAGGATCCTCTCATTGGTTATACCAGATTGAATGGTCTTTATTCTACTGATCTACCCTTTCTGATATGCTCTGTGCTCTATTCGCCCTTCTTTCCTGTCTGGGGTGTGGAGAGAAGGTATGATCCTTCAACAAATGGGACGTGTCTGGAATACGCGGAGGTGGACCCTTGGAGCAATAACCCATCACCGCCCCCTTCGTTGTCATTCCAAACCCCCTTCGTTTGGGATGTCAGTGGATAGCTGAGCCTGGCATGGATGGTGAGGCGCACCTCCCATGCATTTGCGGTTTCGAAGGCCAACCAAACCCACAGGAGGAACCGAAATAGGGCTAGCCTGGTACCCAGAGTGCAGGGAGGGGTCGTGTCTGGCGCAGGAGGACGCACGCGGGTCGGACTGGCCGTAGGCCGGGCTATTTGAGCATGAGCGACAGAGGTGATGCCGACCATCGATGGCTACAGTGTCCAGGCCCCCTTCCCTTCCCCAAGTTTGCATGCTCGCCAGGCTAGATTACAGGGATGGCAGAGTGAATGGATGGTGCGTGGGTGATTCTGCAGGGGGCTGCGTGGTCGGGAATCTGACACAAAATGCACATCCCTGTGGTGGGCTTCAATGTGGTGAGCAGGACGGGAGGGACAGGTTAGTGCCAAGGGAAGCGACACCCTCCAAAACGGCGTGCAGTGCACCCGCCCCGATTAAAGCTCGTCTGCGTCCCGCCCCAGGAACACATTCAGCACGTCCACCAGTGTGGACCAGTACTCGACGTAGGTGGCATGCCCACCCTCAGGGAACATGGTCATCCAGGCCGCCGGCAGGCGCTTGGCCATCAGCTTCTGGTTCTGGGGCCGGATGACGGGGTCCAGGGCGCCGCCCACCACCAGCACGCGGCTGTTGATGCTGGGCAGCAGGTCGTACACCTGGTCGTCCTGGAAGAAGTCCAGGATGGCCTCCATCTGGCGTGCGGTGGTGGTGGCGTTGGTCGGGATCATGGGGCGGTCGAAGGCCTCCATGGTGTACCAGCAGGCGGTCAGCAGGCCTGGCGGGGAAGGCGGGAAAGGGAGGGGGAGCGATTCTTGTGGGCTGTCGTTGGAGTGGGGTACTCGAGCCCCAGCCACAAGACTGGTGCACTGCAATGCCGGCACAAGATCTCCGCAATAGAGGAACCCATGCCCCGCCGGCCACATGCCTGGCCCCCCTCCCCCCTCCCTCGACTGCTCACCCAGTGGGTGGGGCATGGGAAAGTACATGTCCATCAGGTCGTACAGGTCCATCTGGGCGAGGTGGGTGAGGGAGTGCATCATCTTTTCACTGAAGCCCAGGGAGGAGTTGCCGCCGGCACTGCCGGAGATGGGGATGAAGCGGTTGAAGGTGTCGCCGTGCAACGCAGCGGCGGTGATCGTGATCATGCCGCCCATGGAGACTCCCATGAGGTTGGGAGGGGTCTCGAAGCCCAGGGCCTGTGCGGTGCAGCGGGGAAGAGGGCACGTAAGGGCAGGGTACGGTCCCAGGAGGGATCCTGCTCCAGCGTGTCATGGCACTCTGGACACCCTGCTCCCCGCCCAAGCCCAGCACACTACATACACACCACTGCTAGGTTTTTGACATCCTCAGCCATGGACTGGACGGTCAGCGGCGCGGTGGAGTTGGTGTCCTGTGAGGGAGGGAAAATGAGGGGCCTGGGCGTTTGCTGCACATAGAGTACTCGGCTCCGGAATCATGGGCCAGGCGATCCTTTCGCCGAACCTGCTCCGGTCGCGCATAGAAACCCCTACTCACCACGGACAGGCCCTGCCCCCTGTTGTCGAAGATCACGACCTCCTGCTCCTCGGCCAGGGCACGGAGGAGGCGCAAGGGCCAACCGCCCATGACGGAGTTTAGGCCGTTCACCAACATGAGGGCGGGGCGTCCGGTCTCGTTGTTGCCGAAGCGGTAGTAGGCTATGTCGGCATTGGGGATCTCCAAGTACTGCAACCCACCCAGGAAGGCGTGGGCGGCGGGGTTTGGGGTGGGCATCGAGGTGTTGCACCAGAAGAACAGCTCCTCCAGCTCTGTGGGGCCGGAAAGGGCCGGGAAGGTTAGACCTGGTCCGTATGTGGATGCCCTGCGGGCCCTTCCCCTACACTGTACACATTATTCTTCGAAGAAGCTCCACTGTAAACTGCAGGTCCCCTTGCACTCGGGTTGGACTCACGGTCGGTTGTCAGGGCGGAGGCAGGGCGTACTGCCACCATGGCCCAGGCTGCCAAACACACCGCCGCCCACTTCATTGCGGAAGAGCGCATGTCGTTCAATTCGGCCTTAATTGCGCTTCGAGGTGGTTTGGGGGCCCTGTCGGCCCCCCGTCCTGGTATGGTCTGCACTCGCAACGCGGGCGCACCGCTTCTTTTCTGCGCCGTCCGGACGCATGCACGTGCCGGATCGTCCGCAGGTGGCGGTTTCCGCCCCCGCACCCCGTGACCCAGCTTGACGTGTTGCTCACGAGATTTAAAAGCAATTCATTCTTATCAGTGCACATGTCGCGGGATCCTGTCGATCGGATTTGGGGGGTGCTGCGGGTGTTGCCTTTGCGGCCAAGTGGGGGGAGTCCCGGATTTCCTGCTCCGGGGTGCACCTTCCCATGCTGAGATCAGGGCGAGGGCTCCTCCAGCCGCAACCGCCTGTGAAGCGGGGTCGACGCATGGCTCGGCGCTCGAGTGACGCTGACGACGGTGTGATGACCACAAAGCCCCGCCGCTCCTGCCCTTGCCATAATTTGCCGACACCACCTCCCATCATTTTTCCCCAAGCCCTGATGGATAATTGAACGGGCTGCCCCAGATATCACTCCCCCTCCTCCCATCCCCGCACCTCTTGAAATCCTCCACCATGCGGGGTAGGCCCTCACGCAGGGGGACCTTGGGCGACCACCCCAGCAGCGAGGTGATCTTGGAGATGTCTGGCCTGCGCCTCGCCGGGTCGTCGGCCGTGTTTTCCACGAACACGATCTGAGCGGGGAAAGGGAAGGTGGGGGGGGGGCAGGCCCCTTATCGGTGAGGGGGCTGCCTGGGCCTTTTCCCTGCCCGTCTGGCCACAGGCCAGGGTGACTATCGCATGTCAATGCACATGGAAGAGGCAATGCTCTGCCCTTTCTCCCGTCAAGAAGGTCCTGCCGGCGTGCGGCCACATAGTCGACCAGTCTGCCCCCGCACCAGTCCCAGCTCCGAGGCTGTCGCCTCGGCACCTGCCCTCTCGAGACGCGCCCTCGCCCAGTGCACCAAGCCCGTGTACCCCACCCCACCCGCCAAAACAAGGCCACACACATCGAGCCCACCTCGGCCTTGGGGTTGATGACCTCCTTCACCATCTCAGCCAGCTCCACCATGGTGAACTCCCCCGGGTTGCCCACATTGAAGGGCCCCTTGTGCTCGTCGTTGTCCATCACCGTCACCATGCCTATGGCAGGGGCAGGGGGAGCTTGTACATGAGGGAATGACAGGGCAATAGGAGGAGGGGTCCGTCGACGAAGAGGGGTGCCAGGCAGGCACTGATGCGGCCGTCTGTGAGACGGCTCCGCCAGGGCCGCCCACAGTGTCAAGCCTCGTGCATCGCCTCTGGCATGCGATTCGCACACGCACCCGAGGAGGCGGGGTACAGCTCGTAGCTGCATCCCACTTCCTCTCTCCTCACCCCACCCCCTCGTACTCCCCCGCCCGGCAGATGCACCACGCCCCACACCCACCAGACGCTACTCCCCCAACCACCACCCCCGCCACATGCACACCCCCGCTCACCCCTGACCAGGTCCTCGACATACTGGAAGGACCGCGTCTGCTGCCCATCGCCGTACAGCGTCAACGGCTCGTTCTTCAAGGCCTGGGCCACAAAATTTGAGACGACGCGCCCGTCGTCCAGGGCCATGCGTGGGCCGTAGGTGTTGAAGATGCGCACGATGCGGACCTGTTTATTTTGGGGAGAGGAGAACGCCGGTGGACGATCCAGCGCGCCTCAGGGGCGGAGGGCGGGGTCTGCCCGCTGCACACGCTCAAAGTTGTGGCGCCAGGTGTTAGGGCAGATTCCTTCAACACCCCTCCCACTCCTCTGCCAATCGCTGATCCCCTGTGTGGCGTCTCACAAGCAAGGCCCGACGACGCCAATCCATCCAATCGCCCCCTCCATCATCGTCCCCCTCTTCCCTCCCCGCCGCCCCTCCCCCTCCGCCCAACCCCCACTATTCGCGCCACCTCACCTCCAGGTTATGCTCGCGGTGGTAGTCCATCGTCAGCGTCTCCGCGGCGCGCTTGCCCTCGTCGTAGCAGGAGCGCTCGCCGATGGGGTTCACGTTGCCCCAGTAGGCCTCGGTCTGGGGGTGCTCCAGGGGGTCGCCGTAGACCTCGGAGGTGGAGGTGATGAGGAAGCGCGCGCGGCAGCGCTTGGCCAGGCCCAGCATGTTCAGCGTGCCGATGAAGCTGGTCTTCAGCGTCTTGATGGGGTTATACTTGTAGTGCACGGGCGAGGCGGGGCAGGCCAGGTGGTAGATCTGGTCCACCTCCAGCAGCAGCCGCTCCACCACGTCATGCCTGGGCGGGGAGAAGGGTGGGAGAGGGGACCGTGGTCAGGCCCTGAGCTCGTCACACGCAGCCGGCCAGCCCCGAACAAACACTCGACGCTCTGCGTCTCCTCACCTCAGCAGCTCAAAGTTGGGCTTGTCCAGGAGGTGGGCGATGTTGTCCTTGCTCCCCGTGAAGAAGTTGTCCACGCAGATGACCTGGGCAGGCCCAGGAGCAGGTGCATGGTGAGGACATGTCCAGGTGGTTGGCCGGGGGCCACGAGCATAGTGCGATGCGCTGGGCCACCAGCTGCGATGCTGGCCACCCTCGGACGACACATCACCCACTTCATCTCACTAAAGCGAATGTCATGCTCACATGATCGCCCCGGGCCACGAGGTAGTCGCACAGGTGGCTTCCCACGAAGCCCGCGCCCCCGGTGACCAGCACCCGGTTGGTCTCCACTCGGGGCTTTGCCTTCACGGCGGGACGATCATCTGGTATCCCATTGGACAGCTGCGCATCGTGTGACAGGAATGGTTCATGAGGCGCCCCACAGGCTGTCGGCATCTTGGCATCTTGGTGAGTTTCGAAAGGGGGCAGTGGCAAACGGCACCTCATCGTTTACGCCCGCATTCGCGGTTGCGCATCACACAAGTCTCCTGTGACACTTAATTTGAGCATGCACACGCACCTGGCGTTTGGGAGGGGTATCGGTGGCCATCGCAAGTTCTGGTTCGAGAGGCACTTTAGGGAAACACCAATGACCGGCGGATGTATGAGCACGCCACAGACAAAAGTTTCCTGAGATATGGCTACATCAAGTTGTGACAGGAGTGCACGAGGTGGGAGGCATGTCTACTTGCACCATTTGGGAACATGCACGCGCTGGGGGGGATGTCGCGAGGGGGGGACGTTCACATCACATGACACCGCCTGTCACAGGTCACATTTTCAAACCTTCGAAGGACACCGAGACGGCATTCCCAACCATCATCGTCGCCTTGAATGGCATGTGTAGTCTGCCTAGACAGCTCTTAGTGGTCAATCCTGGCTATCAGAAGGGAGGGCAGTCGCCCAGCCGCGCACCGATCAGATGGCACATCAAGCCTACTGTTCAACGATAGAGGTGGATGCGGCCTGAAGAGGTGGCAGCTGCCAACACCTCAACGCTGGGGTGCACAAGGTTCCTGGACGGGATGGCGGTCATGTCTTCGCTGCGAAGCTGCGTCGACAGCTGGCCTGTCGAGGCGTCGATGATGTCCACGGCTCGCCTCATGTTCCCTGTTGGACGGCGGGGAGGGGTAGAGCATTGGTTGGAGCTCGAGAGTAGGGAGCGCTGGGCAAGCAGCTGGGGCCAGCCCCAGTGCCTGGCTGCTGTAGCAACCCGGGCCTCCTTCCTGATCTGAATGCTGCATGCTTGGCCACTGCCGTCGCCCTGATCTGTGCTTCACCTGGTCTGCTCAGACACAAGATGGTGGGCAGCCTGTGCGTTCAATACACGCTCTCCAAGGCGGCCCTCTCGCACAGCACTCCCTCCTCACCCCCACACTCACCAACGAGGATGGCGTCGCCGCTGGGGCTCCATACAGCCCGGAAGGGCGTCACCCACCGGCCCGTGTCGTTGTCATGCCTGATGGAAAGCGTGCACGCCAGCTCCTTCTTCCCCCTGCGCTCCCACACCCCCACCGTGTTGTCAAAGGACGTGGAGACCAGGCGGTGGGAGCCTGTGTTGAGTGCAGCGCAGTCAAAATCTTGACAGGTTCTGGCACGTGGGAGAGGCACTCAACACAGGCCCTCCCACCACTCCATAAAATGCACCCATGACCTCCACCCCAGTCCCTCCGCACCGTCGGGCGCAAAGTGCGCTGCCTGGCAGCTGGAACGGTGTGCGCCCTCCGCGACGGGTTTTGGGGTCGGGCCCAGGCGCCGCACGTCCCACACTCTGACACAGGTGTCGGTGGAGGATGTGGCAAAGACCTGCACCCGGGGTGGAGAGAAGGGGGGCTGGCAGGGGTCGCAGAGGATAACTAGTTGAGGGCTCTCGGTGTGGGGGGCCGACGCCTCCGCACAGCACCTCCCTCATGGCAAGGCATAAACATGGCCCCCCGGCCCCTCCACGCACATGCTCGTCGCCAGGGTCAAAGTGCACGGTGTTTATCTTCTTGGCGTGGCCATCCTCGCTCAAGGCCCCAGGCCCTTTGGCCCTGCAGTCGACCACCAGGAGGTCGCCCCTGTTGGTGCCCAGCACAGCGGTTCTGTGGAGCGAGAAAGTAGGCCGGGTGGTGATTGGGGGCTGTGACCGAGAAGGCAGGCCTTTTGTGAGAGCATGTGCCACCGGTCCGATCAGGAGACCGGGTATGCCTACCAAATCCTCGCACCCTGTTTGACATGAAAACAGCAGCCGCCCCTCGCATCAAGAGCATGGACAGTAATATATGATGGCAGTGAGTGCGCCTGGCCTCACATTTCCCTACTTTCCCACCATGATTCCCTCCCCTCCCCATCTCTGTCTGCTGAAGAGCCAGCCCACAGCCCCCACCTGCCATCCAGGGTGATGTCCATGGCAGACAAACCCAGGTCCTCAGAGGAGGTCAGCAGGATGGCCGCCCCCGCGCCAGGGTCAAACCGACGCAGCGAGCCGTCGTACGAGGCAGAGAACAGGCCGGCGCCGTGCCCTGGCCCTCCTGCCCATCGCAGGCCGGAGATGTACTGCCGGTGGTACCCCAGGCTCACCAGACCGTCAAACTCCGCCTCGCTCTCCGCTGTGCCTGACGTCGCTGCCTCGCTCGACCCGCCCTCCCCTACCAGAGTGTGAGAGGGTGGGAAGGTGTGGCTAGGGTTTTATCAACGGAAATGCCAAGCAAGACGACTTCCCCGGGCAGCTATGCACCGTGTGCAAACGTGCAAGCTCGGCTCCCTCTTTCGCCCAGACTCTGAGCTCACCCTCGCTTGACCCTGCATCCCCTCGCGACGACGCTCTGTCGAGGGCCTGCGCCGCTTCGGCGCAGTACCAGAGGGAGAGGTTGCCCTCCTTGTCCCCCGCTGCCAGCAGCAGGGTCTCGCTGGTGGGGTGGAAGGCGAGGTGCGTGGTGGCGCTTCGTGTGACCTTGGCCACATCAACGGCATCCAGCTGCAGGGAGGCTAGCCAGGGCAGGCTGGGCTCTGGCTTCTCCATGCCAACCCCAGGTCCTGTGCCCAACCGAGAGCTCCATGCGCTGATGTATGCCGCATCTGTGGCCGCCAGGCCGTCGATCTCCTGCATGGCGAGGTCCCCTGGGGAGAGACCCGGGAGATACTTGTCAGCAGGATCCTTGATTTGCACAGAAAAGGTCATTGAGAGGTAGCAGGTCAGATTGCAGCAGTGCTTGCCAGTGAGCCAAAGGACGCGAGGTGAGACATCTCCAATGTTCTACACCCAGCACCTCAGCAAATGTAATACTTCCTAATCCAAGCTCACGTTTGGGGTGACGTTCTGCTGGTACGGGATCTGGTTTGGGAAGCATGATGGAGGTCACGATTCGCCCTCGCTCCTCTGCATGGAGACACAAAAATGGACAAGTGACGTTCGTTTCCAATACTGTGTGTGCAAGAAATCAGGGATACTGGTGCACAGCGCTGGCAGGGGAGATGACCCGGGGTGCACTGCTTCTGACCATGCCCTTACATTCATGTCAACCCACCTGACTCTATCTGATTGCCATCTGCTTCCAGCTTGGCCACCCGGGCCGATCGTCGCTTGGGACCCGCACTCTCCACAGTTGGTCTCCTCTTGGCTGGCCTAACAGCAGGCTGCATGGGAGACCACAGAGCCATGAGTGCTTTGCAGAAAATCTGCTCACTTTATGCAACATAATGGGGACCTTGGAGCACCTATACACCGGCCAGATGGAGTATCAACTCACCCTCGGTCTGGCAGGTTTGGGGGCCACTCGAGCCGCCAATACTGGGATCTCCAAGGCACTCAGGCGCTCCCTGTTGCGCTTCACACGCTCTTGGCGCTGCCTCTCGTACTCATTGTCCCCATCGGACGTTCCCATGGCGGGCATCACGCTGGCGAGGTTCCTCGGGGCATGATGTCGTGCGACGGACGATGCGAGTTTGCGCGACCCCTAGACCTTCCCACTCTGCACGATCAGAAGTTGCTCAACTTGCATATTCGAAAATCAATGTCAACACCGCATGATAAACGTAGCTGATCGCTCAGGGATTTGTTGGAGGGCGCGCGGGTCTGCATGGCTTTTCTCTGTTTGAATGGGCCACCTGCCCTTCATCTTCCGTGCGGTCTGATCGTGGCCACAGATAGCCAGCCGCTCCAGCGCCGCATGACAAAGCTTCTTCCATCGAACCTCAGCCGGCAGATGGACACTCGATTTCCTTGCTGCACAACGGACAAGCCTGTGGAGGAGAAAGAGATTCATATGCAAGCTGCCGGAAGGAACGGGAGTGGCCAGACATGGCGGTCATTGCAGCACATCAATCTTTCCACTTCCCTCTTCCTGCTCGCCTTGTTCAAGCTGAGCCACTGCTCCACACACTCGCTGTGAAAAGTATGGCCACACGGCAACAGGCACACTTCCTCCTCTGCCTCAAGGTCGAGCTGGCAAATCGTGCACCTGGAGGGTTGACAAGGCGTGTGTGCACCTCACACACGCAGCATCCTAAGATGATATGCTTCCCTTGCATACAGAATCACGCATAGCTTGGCGTAACCACCTCCCAGCCCGAATCCCGATCTGCCATCCTCCTCACATGGTGTCCAGGGCTCCACTTCGCGAATCTGCCGCCTCCGCCCATGACATTCTGGGCAGGGCCGCCAAGGCCTCCGCACTCAGGCCCTTGCTGATGGTCCCTGCAACCTCCCCCAGAGCGGAGAGCTCCTCGTATGTGTACTCCTCGTCATGGTAGTCGCCCTCGTTCTCTGCAGACTCTGTTGCAGATGTGTAGCCGCCCGGCTCCCCCACTGCAAGTGGGCATGTAAGATGGGCAATACAGTGGGTGGCCGGGTGCTGGGCATGGATAGCCAAATGCTCTTAAAGTTAGGCTATGCGCCTTGCCGACCAGTCCTAGACAACATTTTGTAAAAAGCCATGCGATGACGGGCCGAGCGACTCACCTGGAACGCCTCCAAAGCCCCTGACTAGCTCTTGCTGCTGCATGAGCAGAGCAAAATCTTCATCGCTCATGCCTGGCCGCGCCTCTTCCCCAGCGTGCTCAAAGTGGGAGCCCATGGATTCGAATGACGTCCCACTCCTGCAGGTGAACATGGCGAGCATGCAGCTTGAGACTTGGCCCAGCCCTATGCAGCCTGAAGTTGGGCTTCACCCCAATCAACTTGAGGGGTGCAGCTCAAGCAGGTTTCCATCCACCCACGCACATCATGGCCTGGTCCTCCCCCATCAAATTGAGGAAGGCTTGCTCCTGTGCCTGGAGGATCATCGCCAGCTTCAAGTCGGCATCCTGTGCGAGAGAGAGGGCCCGGTCCTGACAATGTTCCTAATCCATTCCGAACTCTTGGGTGACAACAGATGCCAACAGGTCCGCACTGCCCAGCCAATGTGCAGGGAGGAGCCGGCAGCATGGTCCACGTACATGTGTATCGGAGGTGGCAGAACGTTGCCCTCGTGGCTCCTGCATGTCAGTCTGTGCAGTCTAGCAGTGCACCCCGCCCTCGAGGCTGTCCTCGACGCTCGTGCGGGTGGGCTGCGTGCCAAAAGGGCCCCCCTTCAGATTAGACCAAGCGCTCTTATATTTATCAAAATGAGGCGCTGCCCGTTGGGTCAACGAGTAGAAGAGCAGGGTCCGCGCACCCCCCGCGACCGTTGTTATGCGGGATGGGTCAACAAGCTATCACGTGCTTCAGTGCCATGCAAAAACATCAGTCTGCATGATCACCAGTTCAGGGTCAGGACATTGGTGCTACCGCCTGTACTTTTGAGGGGCACAACTTGGGCGTACGACACCAAAGATAATATGGCCGCCTTGAGGGTGGTGGTAAAAGTGGTCGTTTTGCCGTTGTATTTTTGGGATCCATAACTGGCCAGGGCCCCGTCAGCGGTGAAGAAGGCGTACCTAATGCTGTCCGGGGTCAGGTCCCCAAATGTGATTGAGAATGAGAAAACGTCTGATGCTAGAGTGACACTCCCAGTGATGGACCCAAGTTCCGGTGGTGGTGGGGAGAAGGATACGGGGGGAGGTGGTATAGGGTTGATGAGCGTCAGCGGCACGATCTCCTTAATGTCCTCTAGAGTTGAGAATGTGTATGCGGCTCCAAGAGCATAAGCTGACATGAGCGTTTCAGACTGTGGGTCTCCCTTGATGGTGGTGACGACATCCCCCAGGTTATGACCCGCTGAGGTGATCATCTTGAAGACAGCTGAGTACAAGCTGCAGCTGACGAACTTGGGGGCATACCCCCCAGTGGTCACCACACAGGTCATT